CACCCGTTCAAACGTTGTTCAACTGTAGCGACAACAAGGTTGTTGTTGATGGGTATCGAAGTTACGGGTGTGATGGGTTCACTGTGCATTACAGAGATCCTTATACAGCGAATCTGGGTCAGGATAAAGGATACAAGCTTCCTCCTAACTGTTCGTTCATCCAATTTCCAGCTCAAGATGAAGCGGATGATGTTGCAGGTGAAAGGTATTTTACTCTAACTTCTGAGTTTTACCTGACCTGGGATTTGACTGGGGATTGTGCCAAGTGTTTCAAAGAATCAGGAGGACGATGTCTGACTGAAAAGGAAACAAATGAATTCAATTGCTTGGTTTCCAGAGGTACATACGGTAACAACTATAAATGACCTTAATTCATCTTCCTAATTTTCATGGTCAGCATGTTAGGATCAAACGCAAAAGATATAGGCCTATAGCTAGTAACAAATGCACCAATAGTTATACCTGCACCACGGCGCGCGCAGCACTGTGCGTCCCGCGCCTTCCAAAACGACGTCGTTTTGGGAGGCGCTGAATGAAGTTGACGTGATTATGTGTATTTGTTTATATCATTATGTATATTTGTTTATACAATTATGTGTATTTTTTTTATATAGTTATGTGTGTTTGTTTATACAATTATGTGTATTTTTTATACAATTATGTAAAACGACGTCGTTTTGCATCAGGACACACAATGCAATGCGCGCCCTGGTGCACGATATAAATTGGAAGACACTTATCACATTTTCGAGAGCAGGGTGTTGGACTTGGCCCAACAATCCCTTAGCAGCAATTTATATTGTGGACCCTGGTCCAATATACATAATGTACAAAATTCATGTTCATTATATCATGTTTATGTGTATATGTATTATGAACATAAATTATGTGCATTATAGACATAAATTCTATACATTATGAAGTCAAATTATATGTATTGGATCAGGGTCTATGATATAACGATTGTTCCTTAGCATGGTGTTGGACTTGCAATTGGCCCTTATGGGCCTCTGCCTACCAATCCCCTCTCCAAGCATGAGCCAAACTTAAGTGCTCTAGCTAGGATTTATACTCGTGACGCCACTTATTAAATTTTTTGACATAATGGCAAGCACTATCCTAAAATAGTCAATTAAACTTAAAACTTGTGATTACCAAGTCAACTACTCTGTTGGATTCCACTTCATATATTTTTGTTCTAAATTTATGTTACTTTGTAAAGAGATTTCAGGATGTTGTAACAAAACGAAATTAAGCATTCTCATTGCCGAATGTTTTTTACTAAATCACTTAATCATGACTTGGCAAAGCATTAAGCATTCTGGTATAATAATAAAAATACATTTTTGGAATCAGATTTTGTTTCAATAATCCATTAAAAAAAGTATTTCATTGTTTTCTGAACATAATCTAGGACTTAATAGGTTTTTAATTTTTATTTATACACTATAACTTATTATAATATGTAGACTTAATAGTTTCCCAACTAAAAAGGTATAATTTACAGGTTCTCCCCCAGCCAAAGGAAAACGAAAACGAAATCTCAAGATTGTTATTATAACAGGTAATATGTTTGCCTCCCCTTCTATTACTATTTACAAGTGTATCAACAGTTATGTATCATATTCTCTTCTTCTTTTCCCCAAATCATTTTCTAAATATAAAGTACTTCGCATTCTTGCCTTCTCAAGTGGACTTAGTTCAATGATTCAATGGACAGTATTTGAGAGAAAAGATCAAGGTTCAAATCTCGGCGGCGACAGTGTGAAAATTATGTTCAAAAGTAGACAGATCGGGCCAGGGTTGGGGATTCAACCTTTTAGGAGAAGAGATGTAACCGGTCAACTTGGTCAAACTTAATAACCACAAGGTAGCTGTCTAGTAGTCTTTTATTGACTAGGGTTGAAAGAAGGGTTTTAGAGCATGTCCCAGCCTTTATACTATAAACCTGTAACGGTTACAATAATGATAGCAACAGCCTCCTAAGTGACATTGTCATCCATTGATAGGCGGTGCTCTTAACGTGTGAGCTCTTGTAACCGTTCCACCTGTTCTGATCTCTACTCCTAACCATTGTTTGACTGCTTTGATGGATTAGACGCGCCGGGTCGGATCCAATACTATGTATGTCCAATTATCTTGTCAGAGGATTTCACCTAGAGTGCACCTTCGGGTAGGACTGTGAGTTTTTTCATAAATCAAAGAGATACATTGTGCAAATTAAACCACTATATATAGGAAGCATTACTCCATTAACTTTATCTGATGTAAAATTGATTTTTTTTTTTTTTAATTTTTTTTGCAGCTGCTTGTGTTGGTGGAGTTGCAATATTTGTCATCCTTGTGCTCTTCTATAGAAAGAAATATCTCATTGGACAAATTTGGAATTTGGTCAGAACTAAAACATATAATGAGCAAAAGATGGAGAAGTTTCTAACGACTTATGGATCACTTGCTCCAAAAAGGTATAGTTACTCAGAAGTTAGAAAAATGACAGAGTCCTTCAAGAATCAACTCGGTCAAGGAGGCTATGGTTGCGTTTACAAAGGAAAGATGCATGATGGGAGTCTTGTGGCAGTTAAGGTTTTGAAGGATCTAAAAGATGGCCATGGTGAAGAAGAATTTATCAATGAATTAGGGAGTATTATTAGGACATCTCATGTCAATGTTGTCACACTAAAGGGATTTTGTTCCGATGGTCGGAAAAAAGCGCTCATCTACGAGTTCATGAGTAATGGATCTCTTGAGCGGTTTATTTACGGGAACAAGAGTTTCATAGGTCGTCAACTGGAATGGAAAGTTTTATACAGAATAGCGATAGGAATAGCCCGAGGGCTGGAGTACTTGCATCGTGGGTGCAACACTCGGATTCTACATTTCGACATAAAACCCCATAATATTCTTCTCGACAAAGACTTCTGTCCTAAAATCTCTGATTTTGGCCTTGCTAAGCTGTGCACGAATAAAGACAGCATTGTGTCTGTATTCGGTGCACGGGGAACGGTCGGATACATCGCTCCGGAAGTTGTATGCAGAAGTATTGGTGGGATTTCTTACAAGTCAGACGTCTACAGTTATGGGATGATGGTACTTGAGATGGTCGGAGGGAGAAGGAATTTCGATGGGGAAGTTAGTCGTACAAGTGAGATGTATTTTCCATATTGGATTCATTCACGGCTGGAATTGCAAGATCTTGAACTCCATGGAATCACAAAAGAAGAAGATGATGATGAATGTGTAAGAAAGATGATAGTTGTTAGTTTGTGGTGCATACAATTAGATCCAGCAAGCCGGCCATCAATGTCTAGGGTTGTGGAGATGTTAGAAGGCAACATGTCCAATTTGGAGATCCCTCCCAAACCCTACTTTTCTTCTCCCTCAAGATCAGAGGTATACCCTACAACATGATTTTTGGATTCTGTAATATCTTCAATTCTCATATTGTAAAGGGATTGGGTGTTTGATTCTTTCCTTGATACCTAAATCCTCTGTTTTTAGATAATTAGATCATACATCATGGGCAGTTCAACTGGTCACATAGGTAAAAGTTTGGAAGAATGACGCCGCTGAGGGGGGTTCCTCGTGCGCAATGAGCAAAGGTCTAGGGGCCGTTTACTAACTGGAAATTTCCAGAAACTGGAAAATAGAAAACAGAAAACATGTTTACCAACACAGTTTCCATTTTGAAAACTGGAAATAATTTCTGAAAATTTCTGAAAAACTGGAACACACTTCAAAATTGTTCTCGAAATGGAAAACAGAATAATCTATCATCTATTTAGTTATATGTCACTATAACCACATTACTATGATTACTTTCATTATAATCTTATTTTACTTACACTATCTTCTATCTTTTCTACTTACTTTACTTATTTAAACATAATTTATTTGCTTACACTTTAAAGTTAGACATTATTTACATTATCAAAATTAAGAATTAAACTCTATATAATGTTTTGGATTTTGATTGAACTCAATAGATCATTAGTTCGAATATTTTTAATTATGTTACATCATAATACAAGTTCGGTCTAGATATCGGATATTGAAATCTCACATATATTAAAATTCAAAGTAAAAGTTATATATTCATACATGTCATTCAAATGAATATATCTAAAAAAATATTTTAAATATTAGCTCAAAAAATATTAATATTATCTAAACAAAATTTTAGCTGAAAACTGAAAAATTAGAAAACAGAAAACAGAAAACAGAGAACAGTTTTATGTTAGTAAACAAGTTTTCTAAACAGAAAACAGAGAATGGAAAATAGAGAATGAAAACTGAAAAATTAGAAAACAGAAAACAGAGAACAATTTTCTGTTGGTAAACCGACCCCTAACCTCTGTAGTTCATGTTCAGTTGAGTTACCATACATCCTCCCAAATGCATGCTCTGTCGGGGTTAGGGTTCAACCTTTTGGAAGAATCATACATACTATTAAGTGGTCGATGTTTTCCTCTTATTCGTAGATGGGTTGATGAGATGAGAGCAGATTAGGGTTCGTCTCTGGAAATTGTTTTTTTTTTTTTTTTTTTTTTTTTTTTTTTTTTTTTTTTGCACTTTGATCAGAATAAGAGATTAACAGCGGTCCGAGATTGCAAGGTCAATGTAAATGTCTATTTTATCCCTGCTTAAAATGGAGAATTTTTTCTCCGGTGAGATTTTGACAGAAAATTGACTAGAAGGACCATTTTTGCAACAAAAATAATAACCGTGGACTGAAATTGTGAGATTTGAAAGTCACAGATCAATCTTGATAGTGTCACTATAGTCGTGGGACCAAAAGTGCAAAAAAACTCATATAAATGACGTTTTTTTATGCACCAAAGGAAGTCTATTATTTTAATTGAGCATATCCAATTAAGAGCGCTAAAACCACAATCACAATTCACAATCACCATTGTCTTTGGGTATCAAAGGGAGCTTAAATCACCGGCCAATACAGTAGAAATCTTAAGTTACACTCAAAAGTGAAAAACAATCACAACCACAACCATGTAAGCCATGATTAAATCTTAAGTTTCCCAAATGTTCGGTCGGGTCCGGGTGTGAAGGGCCCTTAGGATTTGGGGTTCAGCCTTTTAAAAGAATGATTAAAAGAAAAGAAAAAAAAAAAAGATAAAAATACCAATGCAAATCTCAAGACGGTAAAAACTAACAAACAAACAAACAACAAGATTTATTTCAACACTCTGACATGGAGAAATGGCCGGAACACACATTCGCCTGGAAAATACTTGATGTACTCCCACTTTATACTCCCAACTTATACTCACTCTCACATGTTCTTGATGTAGACACTTTTCTGTGGACCCACATGTTGAAAATAACCAATCCTGGTTTGCCACCTCAGGGAGTACAAATGAGGGAGTAGAATTTGAGAGTACATGTAGTAGAACTCCATTCGCCTTCTTCGCCAGTGGGAAATTCATAGCATGCATGCAGTCAGTGGTTGGAGACCACATCCCTGTTGAAATCATAATGGCAATGGGAGACTTAAGTTAGGCCCCCATTAGACATGAAATTAATTAATAAATCATCAAAATTAATTTTAAGGAACATGATTAATTGTTATACCATAGATCGACATGTGAACCTGGTCTAAAAATTATGTGTCTGGCAATCAACACATTTTGTATATGTAGTTAACAAATTTTGTACATGTAAACAAATTTGAAGGCTCATAACATAATAACTACATACACATAATGTTGGTTAAAATGTAATGTATGTGTTGCAATTAACATATGCATATAGTTAACAATAACATGTAATATGTCTGCAGTTAACATATTCAATACTTGTACCTTACAAATATAGAAATGGTTATTAACTATATATGTGTCACCTGTAGGTACAAGATCTAAAGGTTATTTTTAGAGGAGAGTGTACAACATAATGCAAGATAAACCCTAGCACTGCTTGAAATTATGGAATTTCCGACCACCTGATCTTAAATCAAATCGAAAGCATTGTTCCGACCACTTTTGGTATCCGGAAAAACCTTTATTGCTATTTCCGACCACTTTTTGCTTTCGACTTGATTTAAGATCACTTTCAAGTGGTCGGAAATTCCATAATGTCCAGTAGTGCCTGTTTCATGGTATAATTTTGGGAATACAATATGATGGAGTGGGTTAGTGAACTTACTGACGATAAGGAGGATAGATAGAGAGCTGAAATATTGGTAATCCAGCACTTGTTGCACTTCGCTGCCTGTGTATTTCTAGAGCAGACTGTGTTGCACTGTCGTTAGTACAATACAATTCCATTAATATAAGACTGTCTATGTGACCAAAGGCAGGTGGAACAGCATCGAGTTGAGTGCAATTCCTGAGGAAGAGATATTTTAATACTGGAAAACTGTCTTTTGAAGCTGTCCATGATACTATATCAACCCTCTGGATGCGCAGATATTGCAGCTGTCTAAAAACGGCGTCGTTCCTTACATGGCATATATCCCCTCTAAATGCATTCTCCTCCAGCTTTAGCACCTCAAGCTCATATAGTAACGCCAATATATTGAAGTCCATCCAGTCAAATGCGGTGTTGGACAAGGTCATCTTCCTTAGCCTGCGTGGGAACTTCCCAGCCTCGGGGAAGCTCCGCAATTTGTTGCCTTGCAAAGCATCGTGTATGAGCTTAAGGTTTTCGAGGCGGTCGAGTTTTTTAATATTGTCGAACAAACAAATCCCGCCCTTGTTCTCCATCAGCTCTACTAAGTTCCCTCGGATTCCCAGCTTTTGAAGATCAGGGGTCATGTCCAGAATTTCACTTGTGCAGCTTGAAGGTGAGATGGTGGAAAGAGTCTTTATTTCTGTGCTTCCCAAGCTGCTGCTATTGTTATTATTATTCTTGCTGGTGTTTGGAGGGAGGGGCAGCTGCATGGATGTGTTGGTGTGCACATGCCTTAGTTTACGCATACTCCATATCTCTGCCTTCACATCAAGACTATTTTGTGTGGTGTTGAACACGAGTGTTTGCATGTTATGGAATTTGCTAAAGCTTTTGGGGAGGATTTTGAGTTCAGTTGACACCGCTACGAATCTCAAATGGAAGAGATCATAGAATTGCTTAGGCAGCACTTTGAACTTGAGGTTTTCAACATCCATCACTCTAAGAAGAGGGAAAGATTTTGGAATGACTTGCAGGCACTCGTTGGGGATTTCTACTTCTTTGGAGCAAGAAGATAAGAAAGAGCGAACATGATCACCAGATGACTTGCCCCCCGATTTCAAGAACTCCATAATTGAAGAGTTGACACAGAGACGATGGGTGTTTTTGTCTATAATTACCTCGCCCCATTTAGCTCCATCCATTATTTCGCGAAACAGATTCTGACGGGCTGCTTCAGTTTTGCAAAACTCGTGCAATGTGTCATGAATGCGGCATGTTTTGATTTGACTATCGGCTCTTCTCTTCAAAACCATCAAGAGGTTCCTATCAATGAGATCTTCCAAATATTTCTCAGCTGTACGCTCTAAGTCCGAGGTGTATCCACCCTCCTTTACAGGAATGAATGCTTCAGCTATCCACAAACGAATCAATTTCCAGGCATCAATCTCATGTCCAATAGGAAAAACACCAAGGTATAGAAGCAGTCTTTCAAGTGGACAGGTAAGTGATCATAACTCAATTTTACAAGTTCATAGTAGCTTTGGTTTTCTTGATTACCTATCACTGGGAAGGGATCTTCTGCTACTTTTTTCCACTCATTAGCTGTGCTATTTTTATCTAGGACACCAGCAATTACCACTATAGCAAGTGGTAATCCTTTGCATTTTATTGCTATGCACATACCAGGAGTCTCTAAGAAAGAAGGGCATCTCTCTTTACGAAAAACTTTTTTAGCCAGCAGCTCCCAACTTTCATTATTTGTCAAAAATTTTAGTTGGTGAGGTTTACCATCAGAATCAATATGAGAAGCCACTTTTTCGTGCCGAGTGGTGACCAATACTCTACTGCCTTTCTTATTGTTGGAAAAAGCAATCTTCAAGCAGTCCCAATCTTTCACCGTCCATACATCGTCCATTACAATAAAATACTTGTTGTCCCCAAGAAACTCTTGTATTTTTTCAGATAAAGTCTCATCAGTCATATCATGAAACTTTTTAGTTTCTTTGGTGAAGTTACTCAGAATGTCCAAAAATATCAACCTTCGGTTAAAGGTTCTCGAGACATAAACCCAAATGCAAGTGAAAAAATCATGCTGAAGATCACGATCCTTATACACCATTTTAGTCAATGTGGTTTTGCCTAAGCCTGCCATCCCTTTGATTGAAATGAATGTCAAATTGTCCGATCCATTTATGAGACGGTTTTTTATAACTCTTGCCTCTTCTGCAAAGCCCACCACATCTTCTTCTTCTACCACAGGAGCCTTTTAACAATTAAAAAAAAAAAAGATTATAAAACACTAATAAGTGTATAGTGTAAGGGAGAGTTTTGAAAATGATTTATCAGCTAAAATTTCACCTCATGTCCAAAAAAAAAAAGCCTGCTTGAGTTTTTTTTTTTTTTTTTTTTTTAGGGAAACTAAGGTTGGTCATGTTGATAGGTTATGTGTTGAGATTGGTTTTGAGGGTTGATTTTTTTTTTTTTTTTTGTTGACAATGTGGGTTTGAGGGTTGATTTTTTTTTTTTTTTTTTTTTTTTTTTGTCACTCAAGCCTAGAACGATGTCCTTTGCCTATTTGGGGGGAGGAGGGAGGTTAAAGTTGCTTTGTTTTGTATGGGACTTGATAAATCTCTCGGGCTTGATGGTATGAACTTTGATTTTATTTTTTTTCCAGAACTTTTGGGAGACGATTGGTTTCGAATGTTACTGCTTTTGTCCTGATATGTCTTAATGAGGCATATTTTCCTAGTAACCTTAATGATGTTAATATCCTTCTAATCCCTAAAAGGCAAGTTCATGAGTCTGTGGTTGATTTGAGAACTATTACCCTATGCAATGTAGTCTATAAAATAATGGCAAAGATGTGGTTAACTATATGCAACCTTTGCTTAAGGGGATCATTTTTGAGTCCCAAAGTGTTTTCATCCTTGACATGTTTGCCTCTGAAGTTGGATAGATTTTGAGGGGAAAAAAAAACAATTAGGCTAGGTTGGGTGGGCAACTTTAATGTTGGATATAGCTAAAGCTTACGATCGGATAGAATGAACTTTCTTAAAAAGGATGTTGCAAGGGCTAGGTTCCGTGTCTAGGTGGGTTGATATTATTATGTTGTGTGTTTCTTCGGTTAGATATAAGGTCTAGGTTAATGGTGGATCCAAAGAGCCTATCATCCCTTCGCGTCAACTTAGACAAGGAGATCTATTTTCATCATATCTCATTACTATTTGTGTTGAAGGTCTTTCTCTCCTCCTTCAAGACACCTAGTCTAAGGTTCCGTTCAATTCATGGTTACAGGGTTGCTCGTGGGGCCCTGATTATCTCACATTTTTTCTTTGTTGATAACAACCTTCTCTTTTTCAAAGCTAACTTGCAGGAGGCCACAAAGATAAAACGGTGCAAACTTACGAGGACCTCTCAGGACAGTCTATCAATTTTCACAAATCTAGTGTTACTTTAGTCGTAACAAACGAATGACATTAGATCAGAGAGTTGGTGGTAGATATTTTGGGGATCTCCTAGCTAGGCCAACGACTTTGGGAAATATTTAAGGCTCCCCTCCTTTATGGGACGCTATAAAAAATGATCTTCTCTTATATTGAGTAGAAAATTAGACACCAATTTGACTCCTAGAATAAAAGGCTCCTTTCATGGACAAGTAAGAAAATTCTTCTAAAAAGTGTGACATAAGCTATACCTAGTCTTTTTTTGCTCCCTAAGACTTCTTGTGAGTCCCTTGAAAGGCTGATGAACGTATATTGGTGGGGTGGTGGAGGTGGTACTAGGGGCATCCTGCTTGCTTGGGATCATATAAGTGTCCCAAAACGTTTCAATGGCCTTAGTTAAAAAACATATGCATGTTTTTTTTTTTTTTTGAGGATAAAATATGCATGTTTTTAATTTGATTTTTCTAGGCAAGCAAGTTGGGGGTTTTTGACTAACCCTTACACTATAGTGGCTCGTCGTTACTTCCCGTTGGATGCTTTCTTGAAGGCAAAGTTGGGGCAGAATATGAGTTATCTTTAGAAAAGTATATTCACACATTACTTTAGTCATATTATATAACTTATATTGAATATAATATCAGGAACCATTGGCTCCTTAATAAAAGAACCTGACTCTTCACTTTTTTCACCGATGTGAGAAAAGTAGAAACACAAAGGGGAGCTGGTTTCACAGTTAATTTTACCAAACATGTTTTTACAAACTACTAATACAATTTGTTGGTCACGGATTGTTTACATTTTAAGAAGGGGATACCCTACTACTAACTAAGGCTCGAACCTATCACCTCCCACATAGGGGAGCAACGATCCTACAAAGTCCTTGGTATAACGATCCTTGTTTAACAAGACCTACAAAATACTTTATTATGGTAAATAAGATTTTAAAGTACGTTTGACAAAAAGCTCTTCAATTTTAAAACTAGTGTTTTATCCAATGCATTTTCTTTTTTATTATTTTTTAATCTATTATTCAAATTTATAATAATATAATTTTTTTTCATCTTACCACAAGGTAAAAGAATTAATTTCACTTTTGGTCCCACGACTTTTGAGTTCTTATCACTTTTGGTGTATAATTTTTAATTTTTTTAATTTGGTGCTTAACTTTGTTATTTTTATCAGTTTTGGTCATTCAACCAAATTGACGGTAAAATATTTCCGGATTTTATATTTTAGGGGCAATATCGCCATCCCATGGAAAGATCTTCAATATTTAAACAAAAGAAAAATCATATTAAGAGGAAAAGAAGAGTTTGTCAATCGTCGAAACTATAAATCCCATAGATCTATCTGGTTTCTGCCCGTCTTTCCCATTATTCTCATCGATCAAACACCTATAGATATGATTTTACAGTGATTTTGTTTAGATATTGAAGATGTTTCCTTGGGATGACGATTTTACTCCTAAAAATATAAAATCCAGCAACATTTCACTGTCAATTTGACCGAAAGGACCAAAACTGATAAAAATAACAAAATTAGACACTAAAAATAAAAAAATTTAAAGTTGTGCACCAAAAATGATAGAACATCAAAAGTCGTGGTACCAAAAGTGAAATTAATTCCAAGGTAAAACACTAATTACTCTAAAAAAAAAAAAAAAAAAAAGCATGTAGAGTAGGAGTGTAGGAGGGAGTAATAGCTGAAACTAACGTACCATCCTGGGTAGAGTAGGTTGACCATCTCTATTGGGATTATGTATGAGTTCCTGAATAGCTTGAGCGTTGTCTTGCCGGATTTTGGCAACCCTTTTTTTGATGGCTTGGATCTCTTTAGCAAGCCCATTAACCTTGGCGTAGTAAACCGGTGCTTCCAACTTCCTCATCACTATCCCTTTATCTTTATGCTTCCTTTTCTCCACAGTGTACTTACTGATGGCGTCCTCGGCGTCGGTTTTCAAGTTCCGCATATTCTCCACGGCGTCTTTTAGGACGTCGTTGTCGTTGGCGCCTTCGTTCTTCGACGCTTGCTTCAGTATGGCGCCGAACGTTTTGAGGTCGGTGAGGAGTTCCTCGATTTCGCCCTTTATTCCCACCGTTAACGACGCGTTTTCCTCAACGAAATGAACTAGCTGGGTTGCCAGATCCCCAACTACGGCATCTACAATGGCCGCCATAGCTCAGCTCAGATCCCGGCCGGCCGGAGTATTATTCAACGATCCGAGGAGGTTGAGTGTGTAATATAATGTGAACTTCTCTTAGCTGGAAAACCTCTATTTATTACACCCACTTGTTTTTTAATTTATTCTTTTCGAGTTAATATTAAATTTAGTCATTGATCATACTGATCAGTTTAGTTCCAAATCACTTACAGGGCGTTTGGGTAGAGGGATTTTAAATTTCCTTCCCATTTAATTCCCACCTAATTCCAAAAGCCATTAAATTTCGTAATTTGGTTGGAGGGATTTCAATTCCCCCATTTTCATGGAATTAAAATCTCATGTCCCCCATGGGATTTTAATTTCTGGGAAAAAAAAGTTAGTGATGAGTCAAAATTACCCATTCCTTTTTTAACCTAAAATTAATGTCTAACAACAATAATGGACATTTTTTACTTTATACTACTTATTCCCTTTCAATTCCTATGTATACCAAACATTGAAATTGAAATTCCCAGTAATTCTATTCCTGTCAACCAAACACTAGAATTTAAATTCCCACTTTATTCCCACTAATTCAACTCCCATGGAATTACAATTCCTTTCCCACATAATTCCCCCCTCCAACCAAACGCCCTGTTATTGTCCTTAATTAGGTCACCAGCGTGGCTTAATTTGAGTTAAGATAGCTTAGTTTTACATTTATTAACACACAATTTAGTTGTTGACTATAGTGGTTTAACTCAAATTAGTCTTTGACTATTGTGATTTTGGTCTTGTTTGGTAAATAGCTGTTAGTTGTTAGCTGATTGTGTTAATTAGAGGGCATAACTAGTTGATAACATTAGCTGCTGTAGAAAAGTGTTTGGTAAATTAGCTGTTAGCTGATAGTTGTTTGGTATAATTTCTTTTCTAAAAAAGTTAATTGGAAAAGTTGTTTGGAGTAGCTTTTTGAATTTTAGCATTTTGGAGTTGCAAAAAGTTAATTAACCAAACACTTATATTAATATTTTAACTAAATCAAACAATTAATAGTGATCAAAAATGTCAAAATTGTCAAACATAACCTTTATTTAATTTAGTATTCGACTATAATGATTTTTTTTACTTAACCTTTAATTCTAATCGTGGAGGACTGAATTGAATAAAACATCAAAAGTCAAAAATATAATTAAACACAAAAAGTATTTATAACAAAATCGAAAAAAATCCATCTAGGATTAAATTAATATAAACTCTATTCTTTCTTTTTAGAAAGACTTCAAATTGTATGGTCACCTCGATTTATTAGAGCAAGTTGTTCTGGATTCTTTTAGGACGACGACTTCAAATTTTATGGTCAACTAAATTATTGGAGCAGGTCATTCTTTAATCTATTTTTTTTCTTTACTTTTTATTTTACATCATTGCGAGGGGGCCCGGCTGGCCTCCTGCTCCCATTGACAACCGCGTTGTCTCCCTGTCAGCAAATTATATTGTAGATTATAATTTACATTTAATGTAAATCATTGATAAATATTCATTTTAAGTATACAATATATTTAATTTTAATATATTAAAAATTAAATTTTAATATTCTAAAAATGAAATTTATGTTAGTAGTGCACCTAACATAAATTTTTTTTTCTCCTTTTCCGGTGAACTTTTTTTACTCAAATTTCGGTGAAAAATTGACGAAAAGTTTACCGGAAGGACTATTTTTGCTAAGAAAATAATAGTTGTGGACTAATTCTGCAAATTTCAAAAGTCGTGGATTAAAGTTGTTAGTGACACTATAGTTATGAGACCAAAACTGCAAAAAACTCATGAGAAAAAATATAATACTTATTAGAAAAAATGTAATATTATGTAAAATTTGACTCGTCATACCGATAAAAATCGTTGAGAGAATCACATAGAAAATTTTACATTTGATTAAAAAAATTATTTGTAATAATTGAACATTAAAACGTGGAAATTAATTAAATAGTTTGTGTAGACACGCAAAAATTTGACAACACTGAATGTATCAATAATATTGGGTCATATCTTAATTTTCTATTTTTTATTTTTGAAACAAGAGGGGAAACCCCAATAATATTGGCTAATTTACGAACCGACGTCCTATAGTTTCTAATTTTTTTTTTCGTTAGTTAAAACCGACGTTATATGTATTTATAAAAAAAATGAAAATTATTTTAAATTTTTAACGTCGGTTTTGTAAAGAACCGACGTTAAAAAGACGACGTTGTAATACATTTTTGTAGTAGCGTGTTGAAAACCAGTCCTTAATGCGAGACATGTTCTATGTATGTATTGAACTTTTAATATTTATTAAACATGAATTTGTAACATAAAATAGCTGTTTGTTTGTTTTTTTTTTTTTAGAACTACTTAACTCTGTTATAATGTAATATCTGTTCATAGCTATTTCTTCAACCTACTAAAGCACAAAGAGTCAATATTGCCTCACTTGAACTCAAACCTATGACTTCTAACTTAGGAGAGTCACTTCATGCCACTAGACCACAAAGTCATTGGCAAAGAAGTATCAGCAGGATAACATTACTGTGAATATTAAATAGTTTATTTGGCCTGCCTTTTCTTAGCAAGCATATTGTGTTGAGTTCATTTATTGGCATAATAACATGGCATAAATTACAAAATGACCATATATCGTATATCCAAAGCACTTCATCAATAAAGTACTGCTACTGATAAACAAACCAAATGAAGAACAAATTGACAAATAACCAAATAGAGTTGATAAAACAAAAACCTCAATATATAGAAGAGCTATTTAAACTATCATATAATTTATCAGGGAAAGATCCTTAGCTACTCAATAGATGATTTTGACTCTTCAATAATGCAAAATTATTGTTGCAGATGAACACATATACGGCTAATATATATAGATATTCAATATTCACTTCCAAAAGTTGCTTATAAAATCATACAAACTAATTTAATTAATTCCTTAAAAGGCTAAAATAATTGCTCAAACCCACTGACTACTTCATTGGTTTACAGGTCGTGATGCAAAAGAACAACCGTAAGGGTCACGAGTGATCAATTTAAAAGTTTAGCACTAAACTAGACAAAATCCCTATATTGGGAGATCCAGATGATATTAACTCAAAAAGAAAAGGTCGAAAGAAGAGATGGGTTTAAAAGTGTCAGATATTAATAATAAATGTACTATTTAGTCTCACAAGTGGGGTGGTGGCGCAGTTGGCTAGCGCGTAGGTCTCATAGCTTAGAGTAATCCTGAGGTCGAGAGTTCGAGCCTCTCTCACCCCAAAACTTTTTCTTGCCTTAGAGATGCCGAATCCGTGCGTGGCAGGGTTTTTTTTCAAATTGATTTTGCACTAATGAAAATTTGAACACAAATGATGAGCATATCAGTAATTCAGTATTGTTGTTAACTACGTAGTATTATGTAATTTAGTCATTTATTTTCAAATATAGATAATATAGTCATCAATTACTTGATCATGTTGTAAATTTAGTCTTTTAATTATAATGAATTAAATAGTCAATTTAGTCTCTGTTTTTTCCATTTTTTTAAACAACTTTGGTGATAATTGTGGACAAATCTTATCTGTCCATCTAGTATAATCAAAGATTAAAATTAATGAAAAAGATAAAGAAACGCGATAACATTTATGTAATTTTCTGTAATTATAATTATGCATTTAAAAATGTTTGAAATATGCGATGAGTTGATAGACTCCCTTTTTCATTGATTTGGTTCAAAATTATTACTATGCTAATTTGCTTCAAAATTATTACTATGCTAATAAGGCACAAATTCAAAAGTGGAGTATGAAACCAATTTTTCTTTACTTTTTTCTATTATTTTTTTATTTTTTTAATAATTATATTAATAAATTAATAGTTTTAATAATAAATTATTATTAAAAATATTATACAATTAAAAAATACTTTACTTATTTGTTTAAATATATAATAATTTATTAAAAATATTATATATATATATATATATATATATATATATATATATATATATATATATATATATATATATATATATATATATATGTGTGTGTGTGTGTGTGTGTGTGTGTGTGTGTGTGTGTGTGTGTGTGTGTGCGCGCGTGTGCGTGCGTGCGTGCGTGCGCGCGTGCACATGCATCTTTTTACATGTAAATCACTAATAATAATTAATTAATTTTATGCCAATTATCATGTAAAGTGATGACATCTCAGTTATCCATTTAAGTGGATGGTCAAAGGTTTAAACTCCGGTAGTGGGGGCTTAGATTCTTTGGGCTGAAAATGTTTTAGAAAGAAGTATAAAACAGATAGTACCTTGTAAAGAATCATAAGTATTATAACAAATAATAGACGTAGGAAGGTTGTGAGTTCAAGCCTTAGTGGAGACGTTATTAGCTCTTTGTGTTTCAGTATGTTGAGAAAGTATATGAACAGATACTACATTGTAATAGAGCTAGTAGCATTCAAAAAAAAAAACAAATAATAATTAATTTTATCAATTTTTTTTTATTTATTTACAAATTGTTAAAACAATTCATTACTCAAAATCATTAACCTAATTTGTTAATCGCTGCCTGCCAACCTTGCTTATTACCAAATAAGGCCAATATAAATAGCAATATGTGAGTGGTGTTGGAAAAAATAGCTTAAAATGTCATATTAAGTGGCTATTTTGTGGTACAATTATTAGTGGGGTCCACTTTCGATTTGGGTCGGGTCAAAGTGGATTCGGGTTCTTCGTAGTGAGACGAAGAGATTGATATATTGTACGCTCAAAACGGATAATGGGTGAATGAGATATTGATTCTCAAAGTAGACCCATTGAGTTGGAAAAATGAAGGGAAAAGTGAGCTTTGTCCCACATTGGTTTGGAAAGAGGATTTGCCCCCCTTATATACAAGAGCTCTTTTGAAGCTTGTAGAATTGTATAGCATAGAGGCTCTCTCTCGCGCGCGCGCGGGGACAGGGGGGGGTGCAAATCAAATTCCAACTAGACGAGATTGAAAAAGGCTTGATTCAAGCCCGAGCTCGTGTACGCCGAACTTCGGTATCATTTTCCAACCGACCGATATAGTCACTTGATTCGGCCGAAACCGAGAGCACCACTCTCGTGCCATATGCCAAACTTCGGTATCATTTTCCAACCGACCGATATAGTCACTTGATTCGGCCGAAACCGAGAGCACCATTCTCGTGCCATATGCCAAACTTCGGTATCATTTTCCAACCGACCGATATAGTCACTTGATTCGGCCGAAACCGAGAGCACGAGAGGTTGTGGTGCACTGAGAGCACAACTCTCGTGCAACGGTGACCACGAGAGGTGCACTCTCGGGTTGCACCATAACTCCAGTTTTAAATTTTGAATTTAATTCTGTTAATGGATTTGCTGTTTCAGATGTTACACAACGTGTACTTAATGCCAACTAAATGCTATTTAGTTCTCCAATTCCTATATAAAAAAGGGTAGTAGGAGCAAGTGATTTAACAATTGAAGTAGTGAAGAACTACGGACTTGGAACAACACACACAACACAGAAACTTTTGGTTTTTCAGCTTCAAAACTCTGCTCCTACTCCCTTCTTGTAGCTGTGTTCGTCCCATGCTCTAGTTCGCCGGGTTCGTTCGTTTGGGTGCTCAAACGTCGAATCGTTCTACGTTTTATCCTGGGAAACATAGGCCACAACGCTTCTAGCACTTTTGAGAGGTGGCAAATAAGGTTTTAAGGAAAGACAAGCGTTTTGCCTAACTCGTACTGATCTTTCTTCTTCTCCTTCTTTCGGTTTTGGATTATGCTTTTAAGCAAAAATCCGTTCTCCATCTTTTGATATATTTGTTGGATTGGTCCTATAATCTGAGAATTATTTGTTCCAATTTTTGGTTAATATATATTGGTATATCTCTTTCGTAGATATATATGTATATATAACATTTGGGTCCGTTTTATATATATTTGTGTGTATATATATATTTCAGATAAATATCCAATAATATTTTATATACTTGTGTGTGTATATATAAATATTATTTTTGGGATATTAAATTGATTGTGGTTCATTATCACCAACAAGTGGCATCTATTTTAATTAACATAGAAAAAGTAATTTGCAATCACAATAACAACTAAATAGCGATGCAGCATAGAGTGCATAGATGTTTTGTCGTTCTCTCGAGATTAAAGGTTGTGGCACACAATATTCAATAACAAATAACTAGGCACTAATTTTAGATTTGTAGTTATACTGAAAATGTGTGCATCATGTATATATTAGATTGAAAAATTAATAATAAAGGATTTAAAGTTCCATATGTATCTTTTGTCTTGTATCTATCTTATTGTATATGATATAGCTATTGCATTCCTATTATGAATATGATATGAAGTGTAACGATTTATGTGAGCATACCTTTCAATTTACAACACATTTACAACAAAATTAAATTAATTATACTTTTTACTAAGTATAGGTGTCTAAGGCTATTCGCTTCTTTACAATTTTCTTTCACTTTTAAAATGACATATCACTAAATTTGTAATTATTCACTATTTACCCTCCATCCATGCAATTATATCGTATCTTAAAAAAATTGTCTTATAATCACATCACCTTGTAAAAGGTTATTAATATATATATATATATATATATATATATAGTTGATACCATTTTAGGTCCTCCAAGTAGTGATTTTGTCACGTTTAGTCTTAAACTTTCAAATTAATCATCTGTGGTCTTTTGACTTTTAAATTTAACCATTCGTGGTTCAAGTTAACCACCCATGGTCCTTCAAGTTTTGAAATTTAACCAGCCCTAGTCCTCTTGAAAGGACCCTGGTTGGTTAAAATTTAATAGTTGAAGGACCATGGGTGGTTATCTTGAACCACAAATGATTAAATTTGAAAGTCAAAAGACCACAGATAGTCAATTTGAAAGCTTAGGACTAAACGTGACAAAATCATTATACTCGGAGGAATCCATGTGGTATTATCTCTCGCGGCAATTTATATCCTACACCACGGCGCGCGTTGCACTATGCGCCCAGATGCAAAACGACGTCGTTTTAATTTTCTTTTTTTTTTTTTGAAATTTCCCGCCCCAGTGAATGGCAGTAGTTTTTTATTTAAAAAAAAACTCGCTGTTCAAGAATGTACATAATGTTATACTAGAATACACATAATGTTATACATGAATGTACATAATTATATAACAAAATATACATACTCTTTTTAAAAGATAATACACATAATCTAACATAATACATAATAAACATAAACTTTTAACATAATACACATCAACTCTTAACATAATACACACAAATTTTCTGATTCGGATATACATAATTGTATAAAAAAATGTACATAATTGTATAAAAAATACACATAACTGTATGAACCAATATACATAACGTTGTGAACAAATACACATAACGTTGTGAACAAATACACATAATCTCAGCAACTTCCTACCGCGCCTCCTAACACTATCCCAAAACGACGTTGTTTTGGGAGGCGCGCGACGCACAGTGCTATGTGCGCCGTGGTGTAGGATATAACGATTGATCTCTCGCTCTATATATATATATATATATATAGGTTAAGAACTTAAGATGGGCCTTTGCAATTCTGACCATCAGAATTTTAGAGGCCCAATACATGCCAAAAAATAAAAAATAAAAAATTGTTAGGTCAGTTTGGTATCAATTGCCAATTGCCAATTGCCTAATTAAATTTTTTTATTTTTATTTTGTGTGTGTCGGCTAAATTGCGAATAATCTGACCACAATTGTTGACCGCTTAAGCCGCGGAATAATTCTAGCCACTCATCCTAACCGACATGCCAGCACTGCGTTATTTTTACGTTTCCTTTATCTGAAACGCGTCTCTGACCTATAAATGCCCCGACCCTTCCCCTCTTTCATCTCGTTCTGATCTCAATATCTGTTTTGTAGTCTCTCAAACCTTTCCATGGGGTTTCGGATAGCTGTTTCAGATTCGTAGTGATCGGTTTGATTAATTCGTGTTTTGTTATCCTATGATGCTTGATTTTCTGGAAATTTTGGTTTCTCTCTTGATCGGTTGCCAAAGAAGTCTGTTTCAAGTTACTCATCTTCGTCTGTATGTCTTGTCATGTTGATGTAACTCAGATCGTGGATTTGAAGTCAAGTGCAACTGTGCAAGGCTTCGGATCGGTTTGATCGATACGTGTTTAATTATCCTATGCTTGATTTTGTGGAAATTTCGCGTTTATATTGATCGGTTGCTTAAGATTTCTGTTTCCGATTATTTATTGCCGGTATGTCTGTCATGACTTGATGTAGTTTGGATCGTGGATTGGATTTGGATTTCAGCCTGCTGCTTTCGGATGTCTTTTTGTTGAACGACATGGATCGATTTGATAATACGTGTTTGGTTATCTTATGCGTGGTTCTCTATGAATTTTGGTTTATCGGTTGCTGAAGATGTCTATTTGTAGTTACTTATGCTCGTCTGTATGTCTTGTCATGTTGATGTAGCTCAGATCGTGGATTTGAATTCAAGTGCAAGGCTTCGGATTTGTTCTAGTTCAACCAAAACTATCGGTTTGATCGATACGTGACTAGTTATCCTATGCTTGATTTGTGGAGATTTCGTGTTCGGTTGCTTAAGATTTCCGTTTCTGATTATTTATTGTTGGTATGTCTATCATGACTTAATGTAGTTTGGATCGTGGATTCGATTTCAACCTGCTGCTTTCGGATGTCTTTTGGTTGAGCGACGTGGATCGGTTTGATAATACTGTTTGGTTATCTTATGCGTGGTTCTCTATGAATTTTGGTTTTATGTCTTTGATCGGTTACCCAGGATGTCTATTTAGTTACTTATGCTTGTCTGTATATCTTGTTATGTTGATGTAGCTCAGATCGTGGATTGATATGAAGGTCAAGGCTCCCGAATAGATCGGTTTATCTTATGCTTAGTTTTTTGGAACTTTTGCATTTATATTGATTTGTTGCTTTTGATTTCTCTTTTCGAATATGTATTGTTGCTTTGTCTGTCATGACTTGATGTATTTCGGGTCGCAGATTCGGTTTCAGCTGCTAGCTTTCGGATTTCATTTGGTTGAACGACCTCAATGGCTCAATAGGGTTTACAAGCTTGGTTCTAGTCCTTCATCACTCATCAGCAAGCTTGGTTGAACTACATGGATCTGTTTGGCAGGCCTTTGAATTCCCCTTCATTAGTATACTCATTTAATATTTGATTAGAGTTAAATTTGTGGGTTGTTCTTTGCTGTTTTGGTTATTCTTCCTAGGTTTGATCCAATATTGGGGTTCATTAACCTAATGCTAAGAGGTTTCCATTTAGAGCAGCCCAGTCAGTTTCCATGAGGATCATTAGTGGCCTTGTCAAGCTTGGTTTTATTCCTTCCAAAAAAAATTTACTTGAATTTTGGTTTGATTTCCCAAAATTTCTGCACTCTTTTACTGTATATATTATTAAGTAAAATCCTAATTCTTTTGCATAATTTCAGGTCTAGATGTGCTGTGTTAGGGGGGTCAGTTCAGGACATCTATCAATTGTCAAAATTTTGGTTTGGTTGTGTTTTTTTTTTTGGGTGCTTTTGTCCTTTCCCCTTCACTAGTAGAGTAGACTATCATTGTTTGTTTACTCTTAACTTTTTGAGGTTTCTTTGCTCTTGATGTTCTTTCTAGGTTTAATCCAAGGTTGTGTGGTTGATTAACCTAGTTCCTAGAGGAGAGAGCCAGTCCATTCAGAGTTGTATGATGATCATTAGTGGTGTGCATTGAGTTCAGTTTGATGCATGAATGCCTGGTTATCTCTCATACATCAAATAATCAGTTAAACTTGGGGGGTGCACAATGGACTGCAGCAGTGGGTCATTGACCTATTTGGTTTGGAAGTGTTTTGTCGAACTTCTCTGATTTTTCAATGCAATCATTCTCATAGTTCTTCCCAACTTTGATGAATTTTGTAATATTGTGGCTCACAGGTTAGCAAGAGATCTAACAAACGTAATCTGGATATGTTCTTATTGAGTGGATAGATCGGTTTGATCATTAAGCGTTCAGTTATCCTATTCTTGGTTTTCTGGAAATGTTGAGTTTATATTGATCGCTGGCTTTCAATTTCTCTTTCCGATTATGTATTGCTGGTTTGTCTGTCATTGCTTGATGTAGTTTGTATTACGGATTCGGTTTCAGCATCAAGCTTTTGGGTTGAACGACGTGGATTGGTTTGACAAGCTTTGGTTCTATTCGTTCATCACTCATCAGCATGCTTGGTTGAATGATGTGTATCGGTTTGACAATCTTTCGGATTTCCCTAGTAGACACCTTTAATATTTGATTAGATTTAATTTTGTGGGGAGTTCTTTGATGTTTTGGTTATTCTTCCTAGGTTTGATCCAATATTGGGGTTCATTAATCTAATGCTAAGAGGTTCCACGTAGAGAAGCCCTGTGATGATCATTAGTGGTTTTATCAAGCTTGGTTCTATCCCTTCTAAAAAAATTTGTCCATAATATTTTTGGTTGTGTTCTCCAAAATTTTCTCCACTCTTTTACTATGTATTAATTTAGTAAAATCACATTTCTGTTTATTTTTCTGCATAATTGCAGGTCTAGATATATTGTGTTGGAAGGGTCAAATCTGGACGACTTCCATTTGTGAAAATTTTGGTTTGGTTGTGGTTTAATTATTCTTTTTTTTTTTTTTTTTGGGTGCTTTGCCCTTTCTCCTCATCATTATCTTTGTTTGTTTCTTTGCGCTTGATGTCCTTTCTAGGTTTAATCCAAAGATTGTGTGGCTGATTAACCTTATTCCTAGAGGCAGCATATAGATCCAGTCCCAATTGAGTCCTTTGATTATCATTAGTGGCGTGCCTTGTTTATCCAAAGACCAGTTTGAAGCATCAATGCCCGGTTATCTCTCATTCATAAAAAATAATCAGTGAAATATTTGTACCTTTAGCCATATTAATGCTCGGGTTCGTTTCTGGATTGATATTCTTTTGAGGTGTAGTTCCAACTTGGGGGGTGCACAATGGACTGCAGCAGGGGGTCATTGACCTATTTGGTTTGGAAGTGTTTTGTCGAACTTTTCTGATTTTTCAATGCAATCATTCTCAATAGTTCTTCCCAACTTTGATGAATTTTGTAATATTGTGGCTCACAGGTTAGCAAGAGAGATATAACAAACGTAATCCGGATATGTTCTTGTTGAGCGGATAGATCGGTTTGATCATTAAGCGTTCAGTTATCCTATTCTTGGTTTTCTGGAAATTTTGATTTTATATTGATCGGTGGCTTTCAATTTCTCTTTCCGATTATGTATTGCTGGTTTGTCTGTCATTGCTTGATGTAGTTTGGATCATGGATTCGGTTTCAGCATCAAGCTTTTGGGTTGAACGACGTGGATTGGTTTGACAGCTTTGGTTCTCTTCATTCATCACTCATCAGCATGCTTGGTTGAATGATGTGTATCGGTTTGACAATCTTTCGGATTACCCTTAACTAGTAGACAATTTAATATTTGATTAGATTTAATTTTGTGGGGAGTTCTTTGATGTTTTGGTTATTCTTCCTAGGTTTGATCCAATATTGGGGTTCATTAATCTAATGCTAAGAGGTTCAACGTAGAGAAGCCCTGTGATGATCATTAGTGGTTTTATCAAGCTTGGTTCTATCCCTTCTAAAAAAATTTGTCCATGATATTTTTGGTTGTGATTTCCAAAATTTTCTCCACTCTTTTACTATGTATTAATTTAGTAAAATCACATTTCTGTTTATTTTTCTGCATAATTGCAGGTCTAGATGTATTGTGTTGGAAGGGTCAGATCTGGACGACTTCCATTTGTGAAAATTTTGGTTTGGTTGTTTAATTATTCTTTTTTTTCCGGGGTGCTTTTGCTCTTTTTCCTTATCATTATCGTTGTTTGTTTCTTTGCGCTTGATGTCCTTTCTAGGTTTAATTCAAGATTGTGTGGCTGATTAACCTTATTCCTAGAGGCAGCATATATAGATCCAGTCCCCATTGAGTCCTTTGATTATCATTAGTTGCGTGCCTTGTTTATCCAAAGTTCAGTTTGAAGCATCAATGCCCGGTTATCTCTCATTCATCAAATTATCAGTGAAATATTTGTACCTTTGGCCATATTAATGCTCGGGTTGATTTCTGGCTTGATGTTCTTTTGAGGTGTAGTTCCAACTGGGGGGGTGCACAATGGACTGCAGCAGGGGGTCATTGACCTATTTGGTTTGGAAGTGTTTTGTCAAACTTATCTGATTTTTCAATGCACTCAATTCTCATAGTTCTTCCCAACTTTGATGAATTTGTAATATTGTGGCTCACAGGTTAGCAAGAGGTCTAACGAATGTAGTCTGGATATGTTCTTGTTGAGCGGATAGATCGGTTTGATTATAAAGCGTTAAGCTTTCAGTTATCCTATTCTTGGTTTTCTGGAAATTTTGAGTTTATATTGATCGTTCGCTTTCAATTTCTCTTTCTGATTATGTATTGCTGGGTTTGTCTGCCATTGCCTGATGTAGTTTGGATCGCAGATTTGGTTTCAGCATCAAGCTTTTGGGTTGAACGACCTTTATTGGTTTGACAAGCTTGGTTCTATTCCTTCATCACTCATGAGTGTGCTTGGTTGAATGATGTTATCTGATTTTTCAATGCACTCAATTCTCATAGTTCTTCCCAACTTTGATGAATTTTGTAATATTGTGGCTCACAGGTTAGCAAGAGGTCTAACGAACGTAGTCCGGATATGTTCTTGTTGAGCGGATAGATCGGTTTGATTATAAAGCGTTAAGCTTTCAGTTATCCTATTCTTGGTTTTCTGGAAAATTTTGAGTTTATATTGATCGTTCGCTTTCAATTTCTCTTTTTGATTATGTATTGCTGGGTTTGTCTGCCATTGCCTGATGTAGATATGTATTGCTGGGTTTGTCCGCCATTGCCTGATGTAGTTTGGATCACGGATTCGGTTTCAGCATCAAGCTTTTGGGTTGAACGACCTTTATTGGTTTGACAAGCTTGGTTCTATTCCTTCATCACTCATGAGTGTGCTTGGTTGAATGATGTGTGGATCGGTTTGACAATCTTTCAGATTTCCCTTCACTAGTAGACACATTTAATATTTGATTAGATTTTATTTGGGGAGTTCTTTGATATTTTGGTTATTCTTCCTAGGTTTGATCCAATATTGGGGTTCATTTATCTAATGCTAAGACGTTCCATGTAGAGCACCCGTGTGATGATCATTAGTGGTTTTATCTAGTTTGGTTCTATCCCTTCTAAAAAAGTTTGTCCATGATATTTTTGGTTGTGATTTCCAAAATTCTCCACTCTTTTACTATTATTAATTTAGTAAAATCACATTTCTGTTTATTTTTCTGCATAATTGCAGGTCTAGATGTATTGTGTTCGAAGGGTCGGATATGGACAACTTCCATTTGTGAAAACTTTGGTTTGGTGTTGGTTTAATTATTCTTTTTTTTTTTTTTTTGGGGTGCTTTTGCCCTCTCTCCTTATCATTATCGTTGTTTGTTTCTTTGTGCTTGATGTCCTTTCTAGGTTTAATCCAAGATTGTGTGGCTGATTAACATATTTCGTAGAGGCAGCATATAGATCCTTTCTCCATGGAGTCCTTTGATTATCATTAGTGACGTGCCTTGTTTATCCAAAGTTCAGTTTGATGCATCAATGCCCGGTTATCTCTCATTCATCAAATAATCAGTGAAATATTTGTACCTTTGGCCATATTAATGCTCGGGTTTGTTTCTGGCTTGATGTTCTTTTGAGGTGTAGTTCAACTTGTGGGTGCTCAATGGACTGCAGCGGGGGGTCATTGACCTATTTGGTTTGGAAGTGTTTTGTCAAACTTATCTGATTTTTCAATGCACTCAATTCTCATAGTTCTTCCCAGCTTTGTTGAATTTTGTAATATTGTGGCTCACAGGTTAGGAAGAGGTGTAACGATCGTAATCTGGATATGTTCTTGTTGAGCGGATAGATCGGTTTGATTATTAAGCGTTCAGTTATCCTATTCTTGGTTTTCTGGAAATTTTGAGTTTATATTGATCGGTGGCCTTTCAATTTCTCTTTCCGATTATGTATTGCTGGTTTGTCTGCCATTGCTTGATGTAGTTTGGATCACGGATTCGGTTTCAGCATCAAGCTATTGGGTTGAACGACGTTGATTGGTTTGACAAGCTTGTTTCTATCCCTTCATCACTCATCAGCATGCTTGGTTGAATGATGTGGATTGGTTTGTCAACCTTTCGGATTTCCCTTCACTAGTAGAGACCTTTAATATTGGATTAGATTAAATTTTATTTTGTGGGGAGTTCTTTGATATTTTGGTTATTCTTCCTAGGTTTGATCCATGCAGTCTAGATGTATTGTGTTAGAAGGGTCGGATCTGGACAACTTCCATTTGTGAAAACTTTGGTTTGGTGTTGGTTTAATTATTCTTTTTTTTTTTTTTTTTTTTTGGGTGCTTTTGCCCTCTCTCCTTATCATTATCATTGTTTGTTTCTTTGTGCTTGATGTCCTTTCTAGGTTTAATCCAAGATTGTGTGGCTGATTAACCTAATTCGTAGAGGCAGCATATAGATCCTTTCTCCATGGAGTCCTTTGATTATCATTAGTGACGTGCCTTGTTTATCCAAAGTTCAGTTTGATGCATCAACAATGCCCGGTTATCTCTCATTCATCAAATAATCAGTGAAGTATTTGTACCTTTGGCCATATTAATGCTGGGGTTCGTTTCTGGCTTGATGTTCTTTTGAGGTGTAGTTCAACTTGTGGTGCACAATGGACTGCAGCGGGGGGTTATTGACCTATTTGGTTTGGAAGTGTTTTGTCAAACTTATCTGATTTTTCAATGCACTCAATTCTCATAGTTCTTCCCAGCTTTGATGAATTTTGTAATATTGTGGCTCACAGGTTAGGAAGAGGTGTAACGAACGTAATCTGCATATGTTCTTGTTGAGCGGATAGATCGGTTTGATTATTAAGCGTTCAGTTATCCTATTCTTGGTTTTCTGAAAATTTTGAGTTTATATTGATCGGTGGCTTTCAATTTCTCTTTCCGATTATGTATTGCTGGTTTGTCTGTCATTGCTTGATGTAGTTTGGATCACGGATTCGGTTTCAGCATCAAGCTTTTGGGTTGAACGACGTTGATTGGTTTGACAAGCTTGTTTCTATTCCTTCATCACTCATAGCATGCTTGGTTGAATGATGTGGATCGGTTTGACAATCTTTCTGATTTCCCTTCACTAGTAAACACATTTAATATTTGATTAGATTTAATTTTGTGGGGAGTTCTTTGATGTTTTGGTTATTCTTCCTAGGTTTGATCCATTATTGGGGTTCAATAATCTAATAATGCTAAGCTTGGTTCTATCCCTTCTAAAAAAATTTGTCCATGATATTTTTGGTTGTGATTTCAAAAATTTTCTCCACTCTTTTACTATGTGTTAATTAAGTAAAATCACATTTCTGTTTATTCTAATGCATAATTGCAGGTCTAGATGTATTGTGTTGGAAGGGTCAGAGGTCTTGAGACAATTCATATATAGAGTAACCAACTACTGGGTGTTTAATAGAATAATGCGTCCTCTTGCCTGTACTATGTCTGAAGCTTGTTGTAGGGAGCATGTATGTGCCTTTTTCCTCAATACTTCTGGTAGATATGCTGGTCCTCTTGCCTGTAGTATGTCTGAAGCTTGTTATTGGGAGCATTTATCTGCTTCCCTCAATACTTGTGGTGGATATGCTGGAGTTAGTGACTGATATTCTTTCTTTCCAACCATTTGAGTATTCTTGATTGATGATCTGTGAGATTTGTCATTGGACTTTGGGAAAAAACGCAGGATTTAGCAGTGGATATTCTTTCTGGCATCTGAATTGGATACTTTGTGTCATTTGAGTTGATGGGGGAACCTTTCCTTTACTGATGACAATGGATTGCAGCGTGTGCTGATTAACCTTTCTATGGTTTTTTTGTCACTTGTTCTCTGCCCTCCTATTTGATGACTGCTTTCTAGAGAAAAGTTTTACCTTTGTGAAGACTGCCTTCTCTGATAATTTGAAGTACGAAGATAGCTTTGTTTAATTGATGATTGCCTGTCAACAAGCTTTAAGTTGTTTATGATTTCTCGTTGTGAAGAATGCTCATAAAGAGAACATGATAAACTTCATTTATTTTAGAAAGGAACATCGAAGATATAGACCCTTGGACTGCTTCATGTCTGCTAGAAGTGGTTGTTTGTTCTTACCCTCCTACTTGGACTGCTTTTAGAGGATGATCTCTCTTTTGTGAAGGCTTCTTTAGCTGATCTTTGATGTTGAAAAACTTACTGATTTAGGGAAATGCTCCAAGTAGATTAATCTTCCTTACGGATATTATGTCTAGTCATTTCCAAGGGGTTCATTGAATATTCATTTTGGGTGGCTTATGAAGCAGCCATGTGATAATTGCTAGTTTTGTTCACAACTCTGCTTCTGGTGCTAAGCTCTGCTCTTTTAAGCTTTTGTAGTTTTGCTCAGATGATGAAATAAGATTGTATATATGTTCGCTCTTCAGTTGTCACCATTTTGTTTGATATTTATATGGGAATTGGAAAGAATTAAAAGTTTTCTTGCATTTCTGAACTTTTTATTGGTAAATATGTTTTTCATGCTTGGTCTTGCACTCTGTTACTCTTTTGTCAAAAGCTGAAAATAGCAAAAAGATACCTGTTTATATTGGGTTCATAATTTGAGTTATCTTGCACTCTTGTAAGTGAATATTTGCCTGAATTTCATGTTTAGCAATAGTGGAAGATCTTTTTGTTTTAGTGTTAAAAAATATAACTTTCTTAAAAATATTTTACTCTGTTACTAAAAAAAATAAAAATGAAGCAAGCTTTTAAACAACATGAATTTATTCCTTAAGATGAAAAGGTCCCTCTGACTTTTGTTTGGAACTGTAAAATGTTTTTCGGTCTGTAAGTTTTAATTGTCTGAATGTTGAATTTGGTAAAGTTTACATTATTGATTATTCTATGTTTGTATAAGCTGGAGATGCATGCTCATTGATCCTGTTGTTGTTAGTGTTAATTAGGTTTTGCTTTTTAAATCCGCCTGTGAAAGCAGCCGGTCCCAAGCCCGGATAAAGGAGGAGGGGAAAGCTAGGCAGCATTTTGGATGTTTTCATGCTTGTGTTGGAATTTTGGATGTTTTCAGTTCCCAAAAATTTGTACTCTTTGGTTTTTGACATAAACTATACCAACTTTTTTCATTGTTTCCCCACTCCAATATTAGCCTTATATTTTTGTTTGAATATATATGAATTTATATTGGGTTCTTTGCTCTTTGTATATTTTGAAGAACATCAAGAGGACTTCAGTAAGGAAAATTTAAGTCTAAATTCTTGATTGTTATAGATAGTTTCTTGTTTCTAGTGTGTAGTGTAGGGTGTTCTGCGAAGAACTTCCGACCAGGGTAGCTTTCAGGAATCAACTACTTCCGACACTTAAGTTTTGGGATTTAATGCCATGTTATTGATTATATGCAAAATCCAGGTCCCCGTCTGAGACATCCTTTGGTAACAACCACATGATTCTTAAGGAACAGTATATGATGTCAACTACTTCTGATGCTACTAAGTTTTGGGATTTGATTTTAATGCCATGTTACTGATTGATGTTTATGGATGCTATAATAAATCGGTCTGGTCTGAGACATCCTTGGTAATGGCCACCTAACTCTGAAGCAACAGTAGATGTTGATTTAGTTTTGCCCTACTTGGAGCTAGAGTCCAGCTACTGAGGTATTATTGTTTTAGATATTATTTTCCCTAGATATCCAGCCCATGTTTTGTTCTTTGTCTTGTCTCATGATTTATTTTGCCACTTACATTTTCTGGAGGCATAATTCTCATACAGAGAAACTAATTACTTGGAGTATGTTGGCATTTGTCTCTGGTTTTGTTTGTCACTTGTTTTCTGCACTCCTTGAAGAATGCTTTTCTAGAGAATGGTTTCTCCCTAGTGAAAGACTGTTCCTCTGATTTTTTAAGAGTACAAAGGTAGCTTTATGTAATTGATGATTGCCTGTCAGGAAGGTGTCAGTTTATGATTTCTCCTTTTGTGAAGATGCTCCTACTTGGACTGCCTTTCTAGAGAATTGTCTCTCTTTTGTGAAGTTCAAAGAAAGCTTTACTTCATTGTTCATCAACCAGGTTCATTCTTAACTGGAGATATATTTTGGGTGGCTCAAGGTGTCCAATCGTATATGCAGTAAAGGTTCAACATAGATATCAACAAAAATGTTATCATAATCTCATGAGAATTGCTGGTTTTGTTCAAAAATGTGTATTCTTATGTTTTTGTTTTTGATTGTTGAACATATAGTTTTCTTTAATGACAGTTTATTTGATTGCTTTGAATGTTGACAGATATTTCTCCATCTGAATATAACAGTTAAGAGGTTCTAGCAGTTCTCACTTAAGGTTTCATATTCCCTGCATGTACATCTCATTTCTGTTGTCTTTGGAACAAGTTTTTCTCCTTCTGGTACAAGTTTACCCAGAGAAGGTTCCTTTCATCAGAAATTCAAATTCATGGTTTTTTCCCCCAAATTTCAGTATCATCTTTTATCGTTATATATAAATATATATAAATTATAATTCATGGTTACCATGGGGATTATGAGCTTGTTTCATAATTCGGCAACTGTGTAATGTTTGCATCTTTAGTTTGAAATATTTTATATTTTATTCTTGTTTTGTTTTTTGTTTTTCGTTTTTCATTTTTGGAGGAATAGTGAACTTGTTTTTATTGTTAATTTGGTTTTAATTTTATTGTTAATTTGGTTTTGCTTTTTAACTCTGCCTGGGAAAGCAGCCGGTCCCAAGCCCGGATAAAGGAGGGTAAAGCCGGCCAGCATTTAATTTTAAATATTTGTTTTCTTTTTAGGTTATAGTTAACCTATCAACGGTTTAACTTGGTTAAATAACTAATATTAGTGTTTGGTGAATTATATTTTTGTAACGGTTTTTGCTTCAAAATACTAAAATTTAAAAAACTGCTCAAAATAGTTTTTTATCAACTTTTTGAAAAATTTATTTTATAAATAATCAATCTTCAACTAACAGTTAATTTATTAAATTTTTTTTTGACAATTATTTAATGTTATCAATTAATCAACTTACTAATTCAATCAGCTAATAATTATTTATCATAAAGTCTAACATGTTAAAATAAAGTCTAACATGTTAAAATATGAGTATATACATGATATAAGTAAACAATCCCTTGCGTTCGTACAAAGAGCACAGTCTGCTGTCTGCAACAGATAAGGAGTATGGGAGCACTCCGAACGTGTGGTGGAGGGAGTGCCCCACCTCATCCTATCTCGCATCTCAAGTCCTCCACAGTTCCTCGCCAAACCTTTGTGTCTTTCTGCAATGGAGTCTCTCACCCCATTCCTCCATTCAGCTACGGAACAGTGGATGCATACTGTCGTACGGTATCTTATTCCCGGCTCCGGCTCCGGCTCCGAGCTTCTGGCCCCGGACATTTTGGCGGTAGCGATGATCAAAACCCTACAAAACCACAGACAATGCTAGGAGGCGAAGCGGAGAACTATGATCATCCGAAAAGCTCTGTTGCCATGCTAGAGAGCATGATCACAGAAGGAAACATCGCTATAGTTTCGGCCTGCTTTGTCGGTCTTTTTACCGGTATCTGCGTTGTACTCTTCAATATTGCGGTACGTCGTTGTTCTTTCGTTTCTTTTTAATTTTTTGTTTCCCTATTTCTGTGATAAGTTGTGCAGTGATATGGTGAGCGATAGTAATTTGGCTGAACACTTCACCACGAACTTAACTTCCAGCGATCGTGACATTTATAGTGAAATCTTCTTTAGAATGGCTCTGAGATACGTGGTTTGGAATGTGAAAGAATGAAATCTTCACGATTATTTACTGTACAATCTGAAATCAGATGTGCAATTAATTCAAACTACAGTAGTGACATTTAGTGATCCTTTCAAGTTTTGATGATATTTGCTTTCCTACATTCCAATCTGGAACTTAAGTTCAGTCAATAGTTGAGAATTTACTCTGTATTTTTATCTTCTGCAAAGGTAATAAGGATACATTTGTGTAACTTGAACCATTTTCTTTAAACAATTTGCTGTTGAGTGGTTATATTTCTATTGGGGCTTACTTCTGGATTCATGGAGGTTATTGACCTGCTAATAGTTCGTGATGATGCACATTTCATGTTATAGGTGCATGAAATACGTGATTTTTGTTGGGATGGCATTGCAGATCAGGGTGCCTCATGGTTACGAGAGGAGCCCAAAGAGGTAGTTTGGGGACGTGTAATCTTAGTGCCAGCTTGTGGGGGTTTGGTAGTCAGCTTATTAAATTTTCTGCGAACCACACTAGATGTATCCATTAAAGGAGATTCAAGATCACAAGTTAAGTCTTTAGTGCAATCATTTTTAAAGACACTGGCTGCTTGTGTCACACTAGGAACGGGGAATTCATTAGGACCTGAAGGTCCAAGTGTTGAGATTGGTAACTCCATTGCAAAGGGATTTGGTCCTTTCTTTGATAGAGGTGCTCAAAGAAAGCTGTCACTTCGGGCTGCAGGATCTGCTGCTGGAATATCTTCTGGTTGGTATTCCAACTAAACCATCACTCCTGTAGATAATGTGAATTTCCTTCTTTCTTTTAGTTCTTTAAGCTGTTGAAATATGGTTATAAATTATCAACACATATTTTAAAAATCTGTAAAGCTCTTTTAGGTGAAAATATTTCTAATTATTGCTACTCAACCTAAACCTGTACAATAGCTGAAGCTTATGAAAACTTTAAGAAGCAAGTTTCTATTTTTCTCCCAAATGGGGGGAAAAAAAAAAGAAACAAATTGGATTGTTGGTGGAGTTGATTCAGTGTGATTCCTTGCTGATGTGCTTTGGATTATTTATTTATATTATGTGGGGGCAGGGAGAGCCAGTGGATATCTCACATTTCAGATAAATACAATTGCTAGGCTGAGGTTCAAAGTACATATACTGTCATAAGTATCATGTTGGATTTGAAGATACAGACTTTTTGAAGAATTGGACACATGAGAGACATAACAGTAGCCACGTATTATTAATTTTATTTTTATACAGACTGTTATATACACCAGGTGACAAGCCTACACTCACACACAAAATCAATGTGAAATTAGAAAAAGAATTATAACATGAATGTGGCCCAATAAAAAAAAAAAAAGAAGAAGAGTAATTCACATATAAGACCATTGAGAGTTAGAATGTTAGATAAATAAAATTTCATATTCCAAACTCATTGGACTTTATCATCAGTTAATCTGCCAATTGCCATCAAATTTTCCCTGACAATTATCTCCAGATAAAGGAGCATATGACCCATAAAATTAAATAAAACTACAATTAGGACATAAAATTTGGCGCATGCATGTGTTCCTGCATATCTCAGGCATTGTTGTTTCCAGCATGATTATGACTTTGACATTGGACAATCTTGAATTTGATGTCCATGGTTTCTGGGTTCAAGGAATTACAAACTAGTGGCCCAGGGGTTTGGTAGAGAAATTGCTAACAAATAACAAATAACAATATTTTAATGCTGCAACTGCTTTGAGTATTAAGTTTACTTTTCCTTTCTCCTTCCATCTTTTTAAAACTATGTACTGACATCATATTACATGAACTTCTTCTTAATAAGGTGTTCTCTTTCATTCTTCACCGCAATGAGTGTTGGGTCAAGTTTAAATAGCATGTTGTTTATGGATTTGTGAATTTGACGGATTCATGCGCTGCCTAAATATTTCTGTGTAATTTGTTCGTGTTTGTTAATGGCTTGGTTGTTGTTTTGGAATTAAATTGTTTATGTCGCCATCTTGGTTGTTTGAGATTTAGACCTTGTAGATATGTTTTGTGTGACAATGTTGTTGCTCATTACTATTTTTTGGCTTTTCTTGAGCTTGCTAATAAATTGTATAGAACTAGTGTAAACCCTTCTTGTGCACAACTATATTATCGTAGTCCAGTTTTGGAGCTATGAAGTAGTCGTAACCCTGCCTGCAGTGTAGTGATTAAAGGTGATCTATATATGGCACATTTAAGCAGTGATATTGATTAGTGACTTCTATCTTTATCTTAGTTCCTTAGGATGTTTGCTCTGATATATAAACCTTGAAGAAAGTGAAGCAAAAACCCACAAAAAAAAAAAAAAAAAAAAAAAAAAAAAAAAAAAAAAAAAAAAAAACAGAAGAAAAATCTGGACATTGAAAGTGGTGAAAAACAATAAAAAATAATAATAAAGGAAAACAATTTTAGACTTGTTGAAATAGATGAAAAGTAGTACTAGTTCTGCAAATATAAAATTATTGACACAAGTAGAGCTAATATTTTCCTATCATATATTTTAATTCACTTCTAAATCATTTTTCACTTTTTGGTTTTCAAGGTTTCAATGCTGCTGTGGCGGGTTGTTTTTTTGCTGTAGAATCAGTTTTGTGGCCATCACCTTCAGAATCATCATTATCATTAACAAATACAACCTCAATGGTCATTCTCAGTGCTGTGGTAGCTTCTGTAGTGTCAGAAATAGGCTTAGGGTCTGAACCTGCCTTTGCAATCCCTGATTATGATTTTCATTCTCCAACTGGTAATTTCTTGTTTGCTGTTTATGTTTACTTTTTTGACGCTTTTGTATTATATTGCATAACAATAATCTTCTTTCCTTCTGAATCAGAGTTACCGCTTTATCTTTTGCTTGGTATTCTCTGTGGATTCGTTTCAGTGGCATTATCTAGGTGCACGTCTCTTATGTTTCTTGCAGTCAACAATATCCAACAGACCATTGACCCACCAAAATCAGTTTTCCCTATAGTTGGTGGGGTTTCTGTTGGGCTTATAGCATTGGCATATCCCGAAATTCTTTACTGGGGTTTTCAGAATGTTGACATTTTGTTAGAATCTCGCCCATTAGTCAAAGGTCTTTCCACCGATTTGTTGCTACAGCTGGTGGTTGTCAAAATAGTAGCGACTTCATTATGCCGAGCCACTGGATTGGTTGGAGGCTACTATGCACCTTCACTCTTTATTGGTGCTGCTACAGGAATGGCTTATGCTAAAATTCTTGGCTTCATCTCTCAAGCTAATCCCATCTTACATATCTCCTTGGATGTTGCTTCACCGCAATCATATGGCCTGGTATGAATTAATCATTGTGCTATATAAACGAGTATCATGCTTTCAACTCTGCAATTTAATCCTCTGTAAAAGCTATATATCACTTTTTAACACATGAATTCTTTCTCTTGTTCCACCATTATGATACAGGTTGGCATGGCTGCTACTCTTGCCGGTGTATGCCAGGTGCCTCTTACTGCAGTTCTGCTACTCTTTGAACTGACACAGGATTATCGGATAGTTTTGCCCCTTTTAGGAGCAGTGGGGATGTCATCTTGGATTACATCTGGCCAGATTACGAGAATGACAAAGGAGGATGTCAAGGAAATGAAGGACGAGAAACCCTATACAGCCCAACCACAGGAAACACCTTCAGTCCCGCCTATTCCTTCCTTTACTGGCCCTGCTCATGTAGAACAATCACGAGAAGGTGACCTTTGTGAACTTGAGAGTTCACTCTGCCTAAATGAATATGATGATGATATAGGTGAATGGGCAACGAAGATCCTTGTCTCACAGGCCATGAGAACAGAGTACATAACTGTTCTAATGAGCACTTTACTTATGGAGGTTGTGTCTCTCATGTTAGCTGAGAAGCAATCCCGCGCTCTAATAGTTGATGACAATAATTTTCTTCTTGGTCTGTTGACACTTGATGATATCCAGCAATATGGGAAAGCGCAAAGATCGAAAACTGAAAGACATGAGGTAACTTCCTTCTTAGATATGTTAGAAGAGGCGATGTTTCTCAATGATAACAACTGGTTTTCTTTTTAGGATCTTATAGTCTCTCAACTCTGTTCTTCCACTGAGAATGGGTGTCGGGTGTTGTGGACTGTAACACCAAATACAACTCTCCTTTCTGCTCAAACTCTGATGGACAGGCATGGTTTAAATCAGCTACCTGTTATTCTAGAGCATGTGGAGGATAAGGGTGGTCATCCCGTTGGCATTTTAGACAGAGAATGCATCGTTCTTGCTTGCAGGTTCTAATATTTGAACTCTCTAAATATCAATGAAATATTGAAATTTGATTGATTGGGATACCGAGTAACGTGATATCTCAGGAATATACAATCCTATTGTCCGGAATTGATGTATCTTCATCTGTGGTAGTAACGTAGTATTGGTGGAAATATATTTCTAAACCGAAATTTTCTTTGTGTGTGGCAGTGCATTAGAAGCCAGAGAATGTTTTTGCTCGTCCCCCACACCAGAAATGCAGAAACATTGATTGTATATTAATGCTATGAGAGTATGAGACCATTGAAGCTGTGGGAATCTTTTGTAAACCTTCCAATAAAAAAGGTAAGACTTCTGGCTATCATTATAGTTACTGCCGTTTTGTATATTCGCTGTAGTCATTCTAAATTTATAGTTTTAGATGAATGTAAATAGGACATACATGTAAAGAGAGAATGAATTAAAGTGAATATGCTTACCTAAGATTGAACGAGGTGGAATGATAACTACATATGTTTAACATGACTAACGACAATTGTAGTGTAACTAATTATTAAAGTGTTACACTTTGCTTCTATGTTTAGCTTGTGACGTCTTTGTATATATAATCTTGTTTAATTTAGTTCATGTGTTTTTAAAATATTTATTTTACTAGCGTGACATTAACATTATCATTGTCATGTCAACATAATATGATGTGTCATAATATTTACAAATAATTAATTTAACCACTTACATATTAATATCAAGCTTTAGTGCTTTACGGCCTAAAATAATTGCACAACTACTAATCTATTTCAGGTACAAAATCCATACGTTTAATGTACAGAATTGCATAACATGAGACACAAAAACATATAACACAAGACAAATACACATGTTATATATTTACTTTAATTCAGGTATATAATCAATTTTCTTAAGGTACAGAATTGTATAACATAAGACACAAAAACACATTACACAAGACACAGAATTACAGAAACGCATAGCATAAGACACAAAAGCACATGTTATATTTACTTTATTTCAGGTACAGAACTCATATGCTTACAAGGTACATAATTGCATAACATGAGACACAAAAACAAATAACACAAGACACATACACATGCTCTACAGAAAAAAAAAAAAAAAAAAAAAAAAAAAAAAAAAAAAAAACTGTAACGTGAACTGAACAATGAACTGTTGTTATCAAAATTAAAATTTAAAACGACGTCGTATAGGACTAGGGTCTACGATATAATGATTGGTGGCTTTCTCCTTGGCATTTCTAGTGTTTTCTCACATTATCTTATATCGTGGGTCAGAGTCTGTCTACCTTGTAAGGCGGGCATTGATATAAATTACGTTATTTTGTTATTTTTTTAAGCAATTTCTTTAGTGGTGTCATTTTTTTTTTTTTTTTTGTGTGTAATAATAAACAACTTTGGTACTATTGGTGCATAATTTATTAGGTTCAAAGTACATAATATGTTAATTACATGTTAAGTTAAGTTGATCAGACTGTTGATTTAATAATCGTAATGTTACAAATTTAATTGCCTTCAAACTGATTTACCTCCTTATGGTCCTTTGCCCATGGCCGCGCGTCAATGAAGTTTAAAAGCTGCCTGGTCCACATTATAATTTGCAGCCATGACCACTCAAACACAAATTTTATGAATCATTCACCTTTCGCAATCAAGAAACAAAAGAAAAATGTTAGATACACAATACAAATTTGTATACACCAACTTGAATTTATGTGATTAATTTACAATAGAATGATTAGAATCAATCAATTCATAAGTCACAGGTCTAAAATTTTGTCTGAAGTAAGCATTTTTTAAAAAAATATTAAAATAATTTATTTACTTATTCATATGCTACAAGAGAATTCTATACAGGTAAATTCAAGCATCTCTTCCTCTCAAGTCAGGGATCTACCTATCCCTGGTTGGTCAAGTAATCCGCACATATATTCTTTTGTCGTTAATTTATGAAAAAATTCGTAACCGCTATTTGAATGTGCATTCTGAGTTGTATGTTTCAGAACTCAACCCATTTCCCTCTTGAATGGTATCTTGGCCCCAAAACAAGAATCCTAGCCCTCTCACTTATAGAGGGAAGCCATGAAAAGACTTTAATTTCATTCTCATTCATGGGTGCTAGCTATACTTGAAGTAGTACTAACCCACTTGTGGATCACAGAATTTGGAGAGACAGGAACCTTAAATTTCTTGAGCAGAACAACATCATCTGCTTCAGGAGACTGAGGAATCTCTGATTCTGGGGAATTGGGAATCTCTATACTCTTTGGATGCAAATTTGAAACCCCATTTTCACTCTTCTTCTCTATCTCATCTCCATAATCATTCCCTTGAATCTCCACCAATCTCTGCAAAACTTCCTCCATTGTAGGCCTCATTTCCTTGTCCAATTGCAAGCACTGGAAACCCAACTCCGCTACCAAAGTGGTCATCCTCCTCACTGCAAGATTTGATTCAAACCCTAAAGTTTGATCAACCAACTCACTAAATTGGCAGTTCAAAATCCTTTTCAATGCCAAGTCCGATAAGTTGATCTCGTCCCGATGCCTGTTTATGTCCACGGCAGGCATCGATGACACGAGCTCAATCAGGACAACCCCGAAGCTGTAAACATCGCTCTTGTCTGTGAGCTGGTAACACTTGTGGTACTCCGGGTCAACGTAGCCCGGGGTGCCCTGTGGGGCCGTCGAGACATGGGTGACGTCCGTGGGGAAAAGCCTAGACAGCCCGAAATCCGCGACCTTGACACAGAAATGGTCGTTCAGGAGAATGTTGGCAGTCTTGACATCACGGTGGATTATGTCCGAAGCGTGCAGATAGGCCAACGCTCTCGCGGTTTCCACCGCGATGTTCATCCTGATGGACCATATCAGGTAGCCATCTTTTGCTCTTGCACCGTGGAGATGATCGGCGACCGTTCCATTGGGAATGTACTCGTAAACCAGGAGGAGCTCGCGGCTGCGCCGGGATGTGCATCCATATAGAGTCACAAGATTTGGATGCCTTATTCTGGCAAGAATCTCTATTTCATTCACAAACTGCTCCATCCTCTTGTAATTGTGCTCATAAAGATACTTCACTGCAACTTCTCTCCCATCCTGAAGCTTACCTGTAACATCCAACAATCATCACTACTTCCAAACCAATCCAAACATAACCACTCTACATATTTAAGAATAGAAATTGATCTTAACAAGTGGTATCAAAGCATAGGTTATGGGTTTGAGTCTCAACAAGAGCAAACTGTGTGTAGTTAAGGTTGGCAGGTGATGGGAAACAATTAAGGTTGACATGTGCTGGGGTAATTGTTGGGCAGCACGGAGGCGTGAACGTCGAAGTCCAGAAATAAAATTGCGCCTTCTTTAAAGCTCAGTTAAGAACCAGGAGGCAAAGGCTTGAAAGGCCAAGTCCAGAAATAAAGTTGTGCCTTCTCTATTAGTTAAAGGCCAAATCTAGTATCAGGTGGCGGAGGCCTAAAGGGCCAAGTCAGGAAATAAAATTGTGTCTTTGCTACTAGTTAAATGTCTAAGTCTAGCATCGGGGGGAGGCGAAGACTTGTAGGACTACGTCTAGAAAAAAAAAGTTGTATATTCGCTACTAATTATAACCTTTGGTACAGTGATAAACTTTTGATCCTAACAAACTGTGGGCAGAGCCGGTCAATGTTGTAAAAATTGCTAGGCCCGGCTTAGGGGGCTAGGCGGGCGCCTAGGCACGATTTTTGCAACACTGGAGCCGGTAAAGGAGTCATTTCTAGTATCAGTGGCTAGAGATTGTTGGGCGGAGGCCGGTAAAGCCCCTAAAGACTAAGTCCAACACCCAGTCTGTCTCGAATAATGTGATGGAGGTCTATAAGTAAAGAAATAAGTTGTGCCAAACAAGTGGTATGAGAACTAGGTCATGCGATTGTTGGAGGGCCGATAAAGGGCCATGTTTAGTACCCGATGACTGGGAATTGTTGAGGGCGGCCTTCAGCTATAGCTTTTGGCATGAGTGATAAACGTTTGATCCTAACACAAACTTCATAATTCTTACCATAGTAAACAGTCCCAAAACCTCCATCTCCAAGTTCTCTAGAGGAAGCAAAATGGTTTGTGGCCTTCTGAAGCTCCTTGTGGGAGAAGATGGGAACTCCATAGTCCTTGTTGCTCCCCTCCAGGTCTCCCCCATCAGAGGACGTGTTTCTTGAAAGTGCGTATAAAGAATTGCGCCGCCGTCTCTTGTAACGCACCACCATGAATATAACGAGTATAGCCACAACACATCCAACTGCACCTACAACTGATGATCATCATAGAACTATAAGCACACATTGACCAAACAATTTTAGGAACACAAAAAGGTGAGGAGAATTGCAGATCTGTACCTGCTCTCAGCACTAGTCTGAAATTTACTTTCCCTGCACCCAAATCCAAGGCAAAATATCAGGGAATCAAATATCTATACTTGCCCACAAAAGGTGAAATTTTTAGCCTGCGGACACTTCCACACTCAAGCCGAAATCAAAATTGTGGAGATGGTAAATCCCGAGAATTTTTACACTCCACGGTAACTCAGCAACTCATTAAGTAGGAGGGTCATGGCAAAATCTCTCACCCCAGGACGGCATACCTTGACTCGACAGGATTTGTAGATTCAGTGGTAAATCACGGTATGTGACTCTGTAGCTCATTAGGTGGGATGACCAGTGTATGGTGCCCACACGAAACTCACCACATTGGGTATTGTTCACAAAAAAGTGAAATTCCCTGCCCTTAGGACCCACAAGATTTTTGTGGATCCGATAATTCAGGAATGTATTAAGATGGGAGGACTAAGGCTAAATCTCACCTACCCCGGGACCCCACACCCGACCAGTTCATTAGAGGTGATAAATTTTAGGGTGGGATGACTAAGACTAAATCTCCTGCCTGGGGATCCACACCCGACCAACTCATTAGAGGTGATAAATTTTAGGGTTGGAGGACTAAGGCTAAATCTCCTGCCTCGAACCCCACACCCGACCAGCTCGTTAGAGGTGATAAATTTTAAAGGGGACCCCATACCTGGCCAGTTTGTTAGAAGTGATAAATTATAGTGACTCAGTAACCCATTAGATAGAAGAACTAGTGTCTGATGCACAAAAGAAACCCACTAAAATGACTATCGAGACTCGAGCCTACGTTATTATCTATAATCTGCCACTCAGGAACTAATCAAGCCACCCAATCAATCAAGTATTTATAGTTACAATTACCATATGCAAGCGTACCTTTAGAGCAACGATATCTATTGTTCTCATCCACAATACATCGCCCTCCTCTGTCGCGGCACTCATAACAATCCCCAGAAACCTTCCATTCCAACAGAAACGAAGAGTTCAACAGACCAAAAGGCCCATCACCATTAGGCTTATTCTCCGTGCTCAAAGGAATCGGCAACTCAATCCTCGAACACCCAGCCGGAGTATCACGATCCACAACATACCCATAGTTTATAGGATCATCGTACGGTCGCTGCTTATAGAACACCACGAACCCTCCTCCTTCATGGCCGCTACACTTATTATAGCTCCCTAAACCAGCCAGCCCACTTTTGTCCGATCCCAGGTCGCATCTGAACAACGTTAAGTAGTGGTAAACATCATAGGATACAACAGGGGATTGTGGGAGTGATAGGTTTTTGTAGAAAGTCTCGCAACTGCTGTTCTTGAGAAGGTTTTCCAGGTCGCGATCCAGGACGCGGAGAAAATTACCATCTTTCTCGACCACCTCGTACTTCTTCCCGACCAAATCTAGTGTCGGGGGGTGTGGTTTTGCGGCGCAATCCAGGTTAATCAGCCCGCAATCCGGCCGGGAAGATTCGGAGAAGGGGAATCCCACAGTGACGAGAAACCCGCAGGTGAAATCCTTACACTCTTGATTCTGGGTTGTTTCATTGGAGTCTGCTAAATGGGAATTCAAGAAAATCTGACAAAGAAGAATCAACAAACTGGGGAAACAGATTCTTGCCATGTCTCTCTCTCTCTAAATCTATCTATCTCTATAGCTTGGATTCAAGGGAGCAGGATTAATACTATAATAAGATGAAGGAGATGACGATTGTTGCTTTAAGTATACGTTCCATGCATTGATCAAACGCGCAATTTGACTTGGAAATTATTGCTGAGACTGAGGGGATATTGTAAATTTTTTTGTGAAGAGGACAAGAAAAGAGACAAATTAAAGAGAGTGGCAGAGACAAAGAATGGGACCTTTTGAAGAAGACAAAGTAGTGGAATTTCATTGGTGTCTTATTGACTAGGATGGGAAGAACAATGCTTGACTCTTGAGACAATAACTTTCACTTTTTAGTAATTTCCAATTTGGCAACCTGATCCAGAACCTGAAGGTAGATAAAAAAATCATGAATTTAATCGGGCAATCTGCACAAATGGTAATAAATTAAAGATTTGGAATCAATAATTTATCTATGGATGGCAATTTGCCCTGTCCTCGATGTGAACATGAACGAAGAATGTATACAATTCCCCATTGTGACCGTTGAGGACGAGATACCCCTCCTCGCCTTGTCCCGTTCCGAATAATTATTATAAATAAATAAATAAATAACTATATTTATATATATGGAGAAGTTCTGACCTAGTGCTGGGTTGCTCGTAGGTAAAAAATGGGGTTAGATTTGAGTCATTGATCAAATATAGATCAATTGCTCAAATCAATGAAATTTTAAAATTGTTATATGAAAGAGTAAATACCCAAAATGGTTCCTCAACTATAGCTAAATTCACAAATTGGTCCTCGATTTTCAATTTTAATCAATTAAGTCCTTAACTTTATAATTTTAACACGATTTGGTCCTCCATCTATTTGACCGTTTGTTGACCGTGATCTCTGAGGATATATATGTAATTTCATCGCCGCCCGCCCTCATCCACTGCCGTAACACAGTCTATCGGCCAGCCACAAGCCACTACCCAGCCGCCCTCATCTACTGCCATGACACACTCCACCGCATAGCTAGCCTTCACCTACTGCCACAACACAATCCACCTTCGCATAATTCATCATTGTCGGCGCTACAACCCAATTTGCAATCTTCATCAAGTCCAACGCCACAAACAACTGTGTCTCGTCGAAGCACGTGGAGGCCTCCAGGATGACGTTGCACCTGTTCGGAAACACGTCGTCTTCTTCGTTCTGGTACGAACTCAACTACATTGAATCCAAAGGGAGGATGAAGAAATGCGACAGGATTTGGTAGATTGCTTTCGGCAGTGGATTCAAATGTAACAGTGCGGTCTGGAAATGCAACCGGAACCTTAAAAACCGACGATGGACCGTGAAATTACATATATATCCTCAAAAATCACAGTCAACAAACGGTCAAAAAGACGGATGACTAAATAGTGTTAAAATTACAAAATTAAGGACTTAATTGGTTAAAATTGAAAGTCGAAGACCAATTTGTGAATTTAGCTATAGTCGAGGGACCATTTTAGGTATTTACTCTATATGAAATTAAAAAAATTCATTTTATTTTATTTTTTCTTAAGAATGAAAAAAAAAAAAAAAAAAAAAAAAAAAAAAAAAAAAAAACACACATTAAAAAGAAAACAACGCACCTTAAGAAGGAAAACAATGCACTTTAAGAAGGAAACTTACGCACCTAAAACTTTATATCGACGCACCTTAAGAAGGAAAATCACGTATCTAAATCTTTAGGCTGACGCACCTTAAGCTAACCTCTGTTTTTTAGTAATCATATTTTTCACCGATTTATAATAAAGTCCTAAACTAATTAAACCAATTGAAACAAGAAAAATAACAAAAGAAAAATATGAAGAGACAGAAATGCCCTTACTAAAAATAAGAAATTAAAGTTATGAGAAGGACTAAAAGTATCTAAAAAAAATAATAGTCTAGGATATTAAATGACAAAAACAATAGTCTGGGACTAAATTTGAAATTGTCACAAAAAATAAGGGATATCTAGTGAAATTAACTCTTCAATAAATTATTAAAAGAATAATTTACAATCATGCATATGTATAGACAGACAACTTCCTTTGTAGTCTATTTTTTTTTTTATGGAATACTATATGGTCCATATATAAAGTCTTTTATGGAATAATTTGGTCTCAAAATCTTATTTTATGGAAGACTTTGCTACACAAACAATAATTCAGTCAATTTATATATAAATATATACCTATAAACTTTTAGCATAGTGTTCCAATAGTAACCTTACATTTACAAAGAGCAAATTACAAAATTTCAATCTAAGTATATACTATTTTAAATTAATATTTAATTTGGCTTAACTATTTTGTTTTATTTTATTTTCGCATACAACTTTCTGTATGCTAATTACTGTGACTCTGTGAGATGACTAATTTGAATTTAACTCAAATTGCTTCCGTAGAATTTGATTCTTACTTGGAGAAAAAGTCGTGTTTAGAACTATTTAACAAGGCTGCTTACTCATATAACAGGCGGTCCTCTGATTTTACAATTAATTGCATTAACAATCTGCTTACCAACAATAAAGTTATTATTATTATTGTCATTGTGTAGGGGTATATTGTTTTTTATACACATTATTCCTTAAAATCTCAAACCCAACCAAACAATAAAATCAATATTCGCAGTAATTTCTAACCAAACAATGTAATTAATCTTTTCGCTATTTTATTTTCTATAAAATTTCAAATTCATTTCTCTTTAAATAGTTTCCTCAAACCAAACCACCGTTAAGTATACTTTTTAACTTTTAAATTAAAACTCTTACCAAATTGAATAACATACACAAAATTTTAAAGTGTTCTTCTACATTCAATACCGAAAGAGTGTAGTTTTAATTCATTTTGTATTTTTTTTAAAAAAAAAATTATGCATTAAATTAAATAATAAAATGTTGTTTAAAATCTAATAATGAGAAAAATGGAAAGTTGACCGGTGAAAATAAGAGTACGAATTGTTCTAGACGCATATACTGCAATACTTATTATATTGCACGTAGCATTATCCTAATTCTTGACTCACATTTACATGTGCGATGTGCCCATTCTATCTGTCATATACTTTCCTATATATATGGACCAACTTTTTTTATATTTTATTTTACATGACTTTATCGAATAATTCATGCTAAGATTAATTTTTTTAATGAGAAAAGATTAGGGGCTCGAGAACAAATCAAAGCTCACTTCTAAGAATAACATGACGATTGACCAACGACACTGCCAAATGAATCAAATTGTGGTAGGACTCTACGGTCTTAATTATACTTAAGTTCTGTTACATGTATTTATATGTCTTATGTAACATACTGTAATGTGATTTAAGAATTCCGACCTAATCTGGTATCAACATTCAGGTTCTCTATGACGGAAAATAACAACAGTACTACTAATTTTGAGTGGGTTGTGTTCCTCTCTCTCTTTCCACGATGCAACACATTGTTACCATCAAATTAACAACCAAGAATAATTTGTTTTGGCATTAAGATCCCGACCTTCCCAGTATTACAAATCTTCTCGCATAGAAAGAAAATAAGCAAACAATATAAAGTTGATTAGACGGGGAAATAATTAACAGAACACGTAAAATAAGACAAAGTAGTATTTGATATTGTATAATTTCTCAAAAAATATACATTGAAGTATAATTTTTTTTTTTGGGTTTCCACCCTTCGATGCAGTGATTAAGCTGCTTCATACACAAAGTCAATGATCGGATCATTAACGTTTGGTTAATAATGGATGCGTCCCTTCCACTCAACTACACTCTAGATTTACATTGAAGTATAATGTTATAGCTTGATTAACTAATTCTAACAAAGTGGAGAACATTGAGGCACAATTTGAGTACATGACAATGAACAATTGATCTTATTTATTATATGTAAAATATTTACTGTCATTGCTAACTGATGTTTTTATCTCATTTGCTAAACGATTAGCGAATCGAATTGTTCATATATTAGCTTGGAAATCTCTTTCCATGTCTCATCGTAGAGAGTGGACTGATGTTCATCCCTCTTTCATTTCTGACTATCTTCTTTTTTACGCTAATTAATAGAAATCATCTTTCTTTCATTAAAAAAAAAAAAAAAGTAGAAATTAAAGTAAAAAATGATTATATGAGAGGAAAGTCAAAATCCATTTCCTTAAAAAGTGCATGGTTTTCCAATCAAATGTGTAGTACTTGTACAACTAACGTGAATGCACGTTGAAAGGAATTAGCACGCGAGTGACGTGTGCTTTCGTAGTGCTTACGTGCTAATTATTACTCTTTTCTTTTCTTTTTTTTCGTGGCGGCTCCAGACACTTAATTTAAGGAGACCAGATTTATTAACAATTTTTTTTTTTTTTTTGTGGGTAAGCAAAGTACAGGGGGAATTACTAAATCCTAAATTAAGTAAATTGAATACAATCATATAAATAAGGAGTCTTATTTGATTATAATATTCTTATGAAAAAGAGGTCAAATAAGTATCCCAAGTTAATAAAATATTGAAATTGAGTCTCATAACGAATTAATTGTAGTAGTTTTTTTTTTTTTTTTGATCATTTACCGACTCCAAGCCTATACAATGCTAGGACCGGTGCAAAACATATGAATATGTTGGATATAACATTCAAAATAGATGTAGTTTCTTAACAACTCTTATCCCACATTGCTTTTCAATGAGAAATTTTCCATCCATTTAAATACCAACCTTTTTAGGAGGCTTTGAAAAATTATGGAGGGAAAGAAAGGGGGAATCCCATGTGCGCTCTGTTGTCGCTTGCTCAGCTCGGTTCACACGTGTGACATGTGTAACATTTTTTGGTGGCCTATTGTTTCGGTTAATTGTGGCCTATTGCTTCGGTTAATTGTGGTGGCTGAAATTGGGGAGACAGTTATATTAGACACTATATATATACCCGTCTATACCCCCCCCCCCCCAGACACTATATATACCCGTACAGGGCTTTAAAGACGGCACAATCTTCAAAAATTGATTTTAAAGTGTTATTATGTACACGGCACAAATCAATTTTAAAGTATTATTATCATGTACACGGCACAAATTTCCTTATTCTTTCATTTTTGCTCCGTTCTTAGCCTAAATCGAAGTAGTTCT